TATGTAAAATAATTATAATTTCACCATATTGCTCACGGCTTCAGTGTGACACAACACCAGGGGCCACCATTCCCTTCTGATATTATAGATTACCACTGACAGAAAAAAATAACTCATTCACACTAATGCCTGTGGAAATGAGAACTTCAAGAAATCACCTAATAAAACATTTTTTAAAAAATCTAAAATTACCTTATAAAACTTGTGATGTAGACATGCACAAACGTTGCCATCAGATACTGACAATCAAATCGGTCCATTATCCCGCCATGTCCAGGAATGGTGTTTGCAAAGTCCTTCAGAAACAAACAAACATATCAGCAAAATTTCAAAAAAATCACCTGCTATAAAATTCCTATCTGTAAATGTTTTTTGGTATCATGGACACTAAGGAAAATACTTTCCTACTGGATTTTCCCACTAACTACAAACTTATTAGACCATGTCCAACAGGTTAAAACCACATTGTTTGAATATGTCATGTTAGAACAATGCCTGAATTAACCTGCAACATTCAGATAATACTAATTAAATATTAATTAAGTCTAGCACTTTTTTCAGCTAGTAAAACTTTCTGAATCAAAAGTGCTATCAGCTATTACTAATCTACTATTGTTATCGCCTACTTTTCTGTTTAAGCAGAAGCTATTTGTGGAGCTGTTTTAGTGTTGTTGACAGGTGAATAAGTGGTTCTAACTCATAATTATCCTAATAGTTCTTATTCTGAAATAAACCAGTATGGTAAATATTTTCTTCCTTTTTTAAGTGTTGGGGTAAACAGAAAATCAAAATACATAGTTCATTTGGGACACATAAGTCCATTAAACAGCCAAATTGAGGGAACAGTCAGTAAGCCTCTGCAAATTGACTGTACAGATATATCCACATATCTGAGTGCCCAGGAAATAGCAATGACTAATTCCTCTTCTAGTTTACTCAGGCAACCTGTAAACATCTAAAATGCAACAGCAATTACACCTTCATTTCAGACATATAAAAACAAATCTCAGTGTTCAACAAGAAACCTTGGATTGGAGACCATTAAAGAAAATACCATTCTGAANCGTCTTCAGGGTTTTATATATGTTTAACTGCTGTTCTGGTTGAAGCACCAACAACTGCTGTAACACTTTGCTGGGATTTGGACCCCTGGTAACAAAGCAGAAGAGACAAAGTTCAGGCTATTTTAAGACAGCTAAAGGAAGCATATACCCACAATTTTAAGTAAACCCTGCATTTAAGTGTAGAGTAACAATCTTTACAGAATTGAAATAGCTCTTGATCAGAGCTCACTTTAATGCCCAATTTTAGTTGTCAATGGTAGGAACAAACCCCCAAACAATTCTCTGTTGAAAGGCATGCAGTTTAAATGTGGTAAAAATGCACAAACACAAAATTCAGGAACAATACTAGGCAATATAAGTGGTACAGATCTAAGCTGCAAAATTCTCAAAAGGGCAACCTGAGTTAGAGGCGGGGGTAGGCAATGAATCCTGGGCTTAGACAAAACGCAGAAACTACCCTGTAAAGACAGGAGCAAAATTCCTAGTGGGTGAGGGTAAACCAAAAGAGAACATGAAAATAGACTTTAAATTTTTAGCTTCAAGGAAATTTCTGACAATGAAAGGTAGTTTGTTGAAGAAATACCCCTGGGGAGCTAGGAAGGTTCAAGAGACAGGGCACACAGGCTCTGAGCCGAGCACGGAGTTCCTGCTTGGGATCTGCAATAGGTGCCACAGACTTTGTTCAACCATCTTAGGTAAACCCCAATATAAGAAACAAAATAAAAGCAGATCTGCTCTAGCTGAAAGGAGAACAGGGAGGAGGGCGGCCCTGCCCTCCTCCACCTCCCCCAGCGGTCCCAGTGGGGAGGAAGTGAGCCCAGGGACACGATGCACTCCTGGCAGCCAGCAGGGTACTCTCCTCAAGCGGCTTTCTCCTCCAACAGACCCGCTCAGGCCCTTCTCATGCCGCCCTCAGTGGTGCGCTCTGCATCAGAAAAGGGCTGGAACAGGACTCCTACCCGCACACCTTGCCCTGCGGTGACACTCGTACAGTCAGGGGACTCTAAAACTCAACCCATTTATAAACTGGAGGTGGCCTGTGCAATCTTCTAAAGTGCTCTTGGTCAATTTCAGAATGACCCTACTTCAGGTTTTAATGTGCACGTATTGTTCTTTGTAATTTCTACAGTCCACCTGAATATGAAAAGTATGCTTTACTTTTTGTGAAGAACAATTAGTAAAAGCCAAGGGGAA